TATTATTGTGGATATTATTTATTTATAAAATACTTTTGCATACAATTGAATATTTGAGTTACGAAACAAACAGTGAATTATATTTCAGTAAAGCTTATGATGAGTTTGATGTCAGAGCTATGCCATCGATAACACTATGTTTTACTACTAGTGATCAATGGATTAATAATTTATCTGAAAGTAATGATATGTTTAAACAATTGTTTGAATGTGAAATAAATGGTAACAAATTTTGTCATAAATTTTATAACAAAAATTATTTGCGTTATACATATACAAATAAACAATGTTTAACTTTATTGTACCAGGCTAATTTTACTAATTTCAAAATGATTCCTAATAATATATATAGTACTATAAACATAGATTTTTTAAATGTTTCGGCAGTAAATATGGCACTGACCACCAGTAATACACCCACACATTTCCAATACATGGATAGTATTAATAAAAACAAAAGATATTTTTATAGTATAGAAACAAATCTTCAACAATACTTACCGTTTCCCTATCAGACTGATTGCTATAACTATGATAACAATAGCATCGATGGCGACAAACAATCAACTGATGGACGATTAATACTTCAACCAAAATCCCGAACTGAATGCATGTTAAATGTAATGACTGATAGAGAGTATAGAAAATGTAATTATAATTACTATTGGACTCAATATCCCATCGAAAATAAATCATCAATTTTATCAATTAATAAACATTTTAATAAATTAAAAACTAATAAATCTATTAACAATTGTATTGTTAAACACAAAATTTCTGAATTACACACAAAATGCAAACCCGATTGCAATCATTATACATATGATATTTCACTTATAGTATTTAAGATAAAATCCAAACAAAATTTTCAAATTTATATAAAACGACAATTAAAACTAATTATAATACACTCGCCATTGATGTCGTCCATAGCTTATTGGTGTGAATTGGGAGGACTTATGAGTATGTTTTGGGGATACAGTTGTTATTCATTTATAATATCAATAATTGAAATGATTTCACTAAAAAAGTTGTTAACAAATAGTTTAATAAGAAAAATCAATTTCAATATTAACAAACGATGTTTTAAACAACTAATTAAATTTTTTATATTTATGATGTGTTTTTTGTTAATGTGTTGGCATTTATTGTCAATAATTTCAATTTATAAATCATATCAAACAATAACACAAATAAAATTTCAATACAATATCAGATTACCAATGATTTCTATTGATATCATATTTATAAATCCAATAGAAAAAGATTTGTTTATTGAATACATCGATAAAGATTTAGATTATATTTACAAACATATTAATAATTATGGGATAATTATGTTTAATAAGACTATTAGACAACGATTACGACAAATACTTTATCCAGCAATTGATTGTCGTTTTCGGTTTACTGATGGATCACATTTGGATTGTCCTGAAAGACAATTATCATTAAAAGTTTACAAATTAACGAATTCGTCGACAAAATTATATTTTTATTATAAATTAATAGATAAATTGTTATTTAATTTAACAGATCATAAAACACTCGCATTTATTAAGAGTCATAAACTAAAAAACTTAGTTATTAAGTCTAAATTATTTGAAAATATAATTATCTTATTAAACACACAGTTTGATGATTGGGGTAATGGAGAGACTTTTCATATCAAACAAGAAAATATTACAAATATTTATTATACGACTAAAGCCGTCAAACTATTGCCGACAACAACGACAGCCAGTGATCAGTGTTTAGATTCAATCGACAATCCATTTGATCGGATATTTTATGAAAATAAAAAACAACAAAAAGTTGATAATTGTATTGAAAATGAATATTTAAAAACCAATAGTTGTTTTCCATTTACTTTACATGAAATAAATTTATTAACAAATACTGAGATAACTAATTGTCAGAGTAATGACAATATAATTCATTTATATAATAGTTTTAAATTAAAATGTATGAAACAAACAATGAGTCGGTGTTTCCGAATAATACCGGATATGAGTTCAACAACAGTCGGGATATCGTCGACGACGGGATTCCTGAACTATACTGAAATCAATTTAATACCCAAACACTCATTAGAGCCACAAATCACTGAACAGTTATCAATGGATATCTATTCACTTGTCTATGAAATCGGTGGTACTATTGGTATGTGGATCGGCATATCTGTCATCACTAGTAGTCAATTAATTTCATTAATATATAATACTATTATAAATTTGTTCAACATTTATAAAAATTATAAAAATCGTGTTATTGTTATTTAGGAGAAACTATTATATTATTCACAATTTATAGTTAGTTTAGAAATAAAACTAAATTACTGTATAATATACAGTATTAATGAATATTACAGTATATTAAGTATGCAATGAATTATGACAACTACCTGTCTCTCTATACTACACTCCCCATCACAACATACCTAACCATATTAATACACTTTATATGATTAAACAATTCAAATATTTCTTTAATAAAACTTTTTATATAATGATTTTTATTATTATTATAAATAAATTTCTATATATAAAAATATATCAAATAATTATCACCAAAAAAAAAATAATAAATATATTTATTATTAAATATCAAAAAGTTTTTTTATATAAAACAATTGGCCATCAATTTCAACAGTAATCCGATTATTGAAATCATTGGCCAAAAAAAAAACTAGACATTCATTGATAATCTGTTGGTCGTCGTCGACATCGTCGGTGTCGATGAAATTCAGTGGTCAGTAGTAATGGCCACCAATTTCCAGGACATCTGATCCGCTTAGCGCTTGAGTTGGAGAGACATCTATGGCTAAGTCTAGTGTTGTTGACTATACTGTTGTATTGATTGTAATAATTGTTTCAATTAGTGCTAAACCAAAACAACAGTAGACGCAACACCAAAAATACATAGTTATTGTAGATTAAACCTAATATATATATATATATATATATATATATATATATATATAATATGTGCTTAGTGTGTACCAGACGTTGGCCAACACTGGTATATATTGGCGCGACTTAATGTCTGGACGTATTGTATTTTATTAAAAAAAAAATGAATAAAAAAAACTACACAGCGAAAAAAATGATAAAAAAATAAAAAGTAATATTATAATTGAATTTTATTTCATTATTTAATTTTTTTTTCGCTGTGTAGTTATTTTATTTTTATTGGTTGAAATAAAACAATAGGTCTAGACAGTAAGTCGCGCCAATATATATACCAATTGTTGGCCAACGTCTGGTGTGTACCATAACTATACCGTATATAAAGACTCCGCCCCGCCCCCCATAAACATTAGACTTTTTTTTTATACTAAGCGCATATATACAATATACTACAGTAGTTATATTGAAATTATTGGCTGTCATTGTTGTTTTAGTTTAGCAAAAACTGAGACAGTTTTTTTATTCATAAACAAAAAACAATATATCCGTTTCCGGCACTCATTGTTCTACAGCCCACTGGACAGACAGCCCATACATTTCTAAATAGTCCGGATCTCCTTCATTATATATATATATATACTAACAATTATGGACTATACTAGACCTACCCGAAAATCAAACGGCGCCGATGGTCAGCCAAAAGTAATAGCGGAGGACAACTATTATAAAGGTATGTGCGTTGAACTAATAGAGCACTCAAAACGTCAACACAAATGTATCGAAACACTTGAGACAATCAATAAAGAACTTATAAAATCTATGGAAGAGATGGGACAGTTAGGCCGAGCGGCGGTCAATAAGGCTACCGAAAAAATGATTGATACGAAAAACAACACCACATTTCAATACGATAGACTGTTACTCGCTTCTGGGGTACAGGAGATTGCGCAACAAAACGACTCTACAGGTATGAATGAACACGTATTGGATAAGATCGTGACACGAAAAGTCAAGTTTAATACGAAAAAAACAAACACGAAACTTCGTGCGAAAAGGGATACACGAAAATTAAATATGACATCTAATGAAGATTTAGACCCTAACACGTACATCGTGTGTAACGGTAAGTTGGAAATTATGGACACGAATATGAAAACATCGGTACACGATTGCTCATTTATTGAACTGAAAAGTAAGGGTAACATTCAACAACACTGGAAAAGGCGACACCCGGGACATAACATTCGTAAGTCAAATAGTGTTACAGAGATCGTGAACGCTCCCCGTACGCTGATTAAGGAAATCACTGAAAAATGGTTGAAATGGAAAACCGTTCTTAGAAAGTCAGATATTATTAAAGTAAAACAACAAAAGATATTGAAAAATTTTGAAGATAAATTGAAAAACAACCATCCACCACCAATAGGACTTTTGAAAAACAAATACACTGCAGATGATTCGGAACCAGAACACCAATACGAAGTTGAACACGAAATCCGCGACATTGAATACGAATCTCAAAACGAAGATAACGGCACAGACAGCGAGAAAAACAGTGAAGATAACAGCGACGAGTATCAAGACACAGATGAACCGCCGTTAAAGAAGAAAGTTTACTTGGATGGTGTCGGACTGGTCAATAAAATTGGATCCAATCGTCTAAGATCAACGTATCACTAATCGTTATCACCAATATTTGTAACCTTTTATATGTTACACGCAATACAATTCGTTTCACGATACGTTTGCTGATACATGTTTAAGCTAAACACGAAACGATTAGTAATTATGATATGATTTTATTCTTAATACGATTTTTATGTAATACGATATGATTTTATTCTTAATACGATTTTTATGTAATACGATATGATTTTATTCTTAACACGATTTTTATGTAATACGATATGATTTTATTCTTAACACGATTTTTATGTAATACGATATGATTTTATTATTAATACGATTTATTTCAGTAATACTAAACTATTATTGAAATAAATGATTTTATATATCCTAATCTGATCTAAACATACTATTAATTTCTTAAATAATAAATTAAACTTACGTTTAATCTTTTGAGAGATTCTTTTATTCATACGTACTATTAATTTAAAAAAAAACATTTTATAATATTTTTTATTATTATAAATATATTTCTATATATAAAAATATAACACATAATTATCACCAAAAAAAAAATCATTAAATTTCAAGAAGTTTTTATATAAAACAATTGGCCATCAATTTCAACAGTAATCCGATTATTGAAATCATTGGACAAAACTAGACATTCATTGATAATCTTTTGGTAGTCGTCGTCGTCGTTGTCGTCGGTGTTGTCATCGATGAGATTCAGTGCAATAATGGCCACCAATGCGGACATCTGTTCCGCGTATCGCTTGTTCTTTTCGAGATAACGGCTGGCATAGTGTTTACCGTCGCCGCCGTCGCCGACAGTGACCACTGTATGAAAATGTTTGTCCAATTGTTTCGTTCGATAGACGGGCGGATCCATTGATCGACTGGTCGTATAAGACATTAGACGGGATTTTGGCAGTGAATTCTGATCGACAAACAATTGTCTCATAAATATTACATCCATTTTGTGGATAATAATCGTCTGATCCATGTCTTCATCAGTACTGATGATAACATTATCGGCAGATGTTTTCAGTTTTTTATTTACCGATACTTTCGTCGACAACTTGTTGTCTTCATTGTTGAACAACAACTTGGATGACATCGACTCACGTTTAAGACGACTGTGTCGTTGATGATCGTCATAATACTCGATCAGATGCCAGAGTCGACATATAGTCGGTAACGACTGGGCGGCCAACAGTTGCCGACCTCTGTCCGAGTCTTGGAGCGGACCCAACATCTGTTGGATGACATACTTGATGTTCAGTACGTGATTGTCGTAGTCGACACATAGCCGCAGATATTGACGGATAACTTCTTCGATGTCCAATAGGTCGCCGCCGTCGCCATCGGCTTTTGGTCGACGAAATATTGAACAATTCTTTTGGGCCGATCGGGCAATCATTACCGATGCGGCCGTGGTTTGCCTACGAAACCGGTCGATATCTTCATAGCAGGTAATATCCGCCGAACCACCGCTGGCTATAACCGGTATCCGTATGGACTGAGCAATGGCCTGGATATAGCTATCGCGGTTCCGGTCTTTCGGACGTTCCTGTTGTGTACGGCCGTGAACTGCCAGTGCCCGTACACCGCACGACTCAATCAATTTGGCCAATCGTATGGTATCATCAAGCGATGGCAATACACGCATCTTACAGGTCACGGGTAGATTGGCCGGCAAATTGCTGACCAATGTTGTCAATATATCGCCGACTTTGTCCGGTTGGCCTAACAGTGCCGAACCCATACCGCCTTTTATCGAAAATTCTTTAGGACATCCCATATTGACATCGATGGCGGCTACATCTCTGGCCACTAGTTTAGCGGCTCTCAAAGCCCGTCGGGCATCGCTAGTACCCAACTGTAGGACCAGTCGGTGGCGTTCTTTCGGCGGACAAGTCCTGAATACTATACAACCGCTATCATCAATGTAGTCGACAGTACCGATCATTGTGTTTACCGATCGCCGACATCTTAACAGTTTATAATCAATCAGTTCTTCAGTATAGACTATGTCGGCACCAAATCTTAAGGCTAGTAATCTCATCGGTAATGTTCCCGTCCGGACCATTGGTGCCAGTATTGTCTTCAGCCGAAAGTCTAGCGGCTGCTGCTGTTGTTGGTGTTGGTGGTCATGACTATCATCATCATTATCGACGCCGTTGTTTTGGTCACCGTTGGTGGTGGTAGTGGTGATGGCGGTGGGGGTGTCCATCATCGGCGATGTTGGCCTTGAATTATTCGGGACAATTAAAAGTGTCGGTAAAAAAACACGTGTGAAGACAGTGGTGATGAAGAAGATGAAGAAGAAGTGGTTGTTTTCATTCATTCATAAAAAACACACGTTTTTTGCTATTTATTTACATTTATATTTTGTTTTCCTTTTCAACAGAAGACTTGTAATTCTGTCTGTTGTCACCACAAATGACGTCTTCCTYTCTCTCTCTCTTCGTTTGTCTTCGTCTTTGAATGTTTTCTATGTATTGGTAAACATATTTGTTGTTTGTGTTTGGGATCAGATTGTATGGGAGAGAGAAAGTTAAGTGAAGTGATTGGATATCATGTGACAGATAGTCCCAGACATACCATCCACTAGTCTATAGACTAGTCGTCATCGATGGTAACCTATATTTTAATTTTGTAGATCAAGTAAAGTGATTACTACTACTACTACTCACATAATAAAGGTGTGAATGAACTGAACTGACTCTCCTCTGACAGTCTGTCTGTCTGTCTGTCTGTCTGTTGTTTACTAAACATCACATCTGAAGACGTAATCAGGAGTGACGGATGAAAAGTGAAAGCCTATCCAATAAATCATTGGTTGTCTGATCTGATAATTGTCTGAATCATTGCCAACGACAACAACAACAAGTGATAGTCTGTTGTCATATGACTATAAACTTTGAAGGCTTTCCTCTCACTCTCTCTCTCTTCTCTTCAATGAAGACATTCAAAAACTGACGATTTTTTTCTCTCTGAATATTAGTCTATCACTCCCTTCAGATCAGATCACATCCCATAGGCTCTTCATATATGACTTGTAGGCGCCGCCGCCAAACATTACCACCACTACTAGCCATCACTATTCAACAGCACATCCCGTTTACACAATGGCCGCTGTCTTGGCCGCCGCCGACAAAGAATCAGATGAATACACACGACTGGTTCGTCCCGCAGCTAATGATGACAACTATGTCGTCGACGACGACGCCGACGATGACGACAATGAAGATATGGTAACCGATTCGTCATCTATGGAACCGTTTGATAGGTTTGTATATATATCTTGAATACGATGGCCATAATGATAGCCACCTAATGATCCGGTTATTGATTGACTTTTTTTTATAACAGACTATCCATAGTGAAGATCAGCTTCGGTTTGATTGGTTTGTCTCAATTGATTCCCTGGAACTTCTTGATCACTGCCAGCGATGTAATTAAAAAAAAAAATTTTCTGACCATTTCATAAAATCTTATTAATTTGATCCCAAAATCACTACTACTACTACTAATTACTTGTAGTACTGGAGTTACAAGTTTCGCGATACCAACGCCACCAATGGTAGTCACTATTATCAGACAGCTATCACCGATGATGGTCAACCATCACCAGCACATCAATTGACACCATTGCAAAAGTACTTCGAGAGCTATCTGGCTATAGCCACGAATGTACCGTTTCTGGTTGTTTTGGCTATCAATGCATTTTACGGGCATAAGTATGTTATTATTTTTTTGGGGGGTGGGAAGGGAGGGGAGGGTGGGTTGAGTGTACAGTTGTTTGTAAGTATTTTTTTTTATCTACAGAATTAGCGATGCCATCAAAAATATGGGCTCTTTTGTGACAATTATCCTAATATTTATCTTAACGACAATTTTCGTCAAAATCGATACCGACTATTGTAAGTAATACCAACCAATCGGTTTGCGGACAATTTTTATTTATTTATTTTTTTGGTGACCACTAGATCAGCAAACATTCTTCGGCATAACCATCGCGACGATTGTCTTGTTGAGTACTGCGGCCGCATTCCTCCAGTCCAGTCTATCGGGTATTGCATCGCTGTTTCCCGCTTTGTGTATGCAATCGATGATCAGCGGTCAGGCTATGTCCGGACTGTTTGCCGCCGCGGCTCAGATACTGGCACTGATGGGCGGTTGGGATGCATCGACCACTGCTCTGTACTACTTTATTATGGCCGACCTGACCCTCATTGTCAGTCTAGTCCTATATTTATATTCAAAGAAAACTGTAAGAACTTTACGGAAAAGATAATAATAATATCACATTAATTGATCCCAATTTAACTTTATTTGTTGATAAACTAAGGATTACTATCGCTATCATAAACATCGTGTTAATCAAAGTCGACGCCAATTGACTACATTTGTATCGGCGAGTGACCAAAGTTTTTACCGATCGATAATATATTCGGTAAATATTTTTTTTTTGTTTTTTTTTTGGTAATTACCGGTACTTTTTTCATAGCTAATGATTGTTTTTTATTTTTTTGCCGATTGCCGCCAATCGGTAAAACAGATTTGGCCACATTTGACATCGGCTATGCTAGTCTTTTGGGTAACGCTATCGGTATTTCCGGCCATTACTGTACTGGTTGTACCCGAATCGCCCAATTCATCCCAATGGACGGGAACCTATTTCATACCCGTAACATGTTTTCTATTGTTCAATTTAAGTGATCTGATGGGCCGGTTTGCCGGCCGTTTTTGCCCGATACCGGCCTACCGACGGTGGACATTGTTGTTGGTCAGTGCCGGCCGAATAGTATTGATACCGTTACTCATGCTATGTAATGTTCATCCCCGTGCCGGCCACTTGCCGGTAGTATTTCTGAATGAAATGTATTACATATGGTTTGTTACGGCACTGGGTTTCAGCAACGGCTACGTACTGATGAACGTAATGGTCAGCGGACCGACATTTGTGGCCAACGAATACAAAGAGAGCGCCGGGTTTTTCTTGGTCTCGTTTATCGGTCTCGGGCTGACTCTCGGCTCGTTTACGTCAAACATTTTGCTACGATTGTTGTGAACAGAGAGAGAGAGAGAGAGAGAGAGAGAGAGAGAGAGAGAGAGAGAGAGAGAGAGTACAGAGAGAGAGAGAGAGAAAGTACAGAGAGAGAGAGAGAGAGAGAGTACAGAGAGAGAGAGAGAGTGCAGAGAGAGAGAGAGAGAGAGAGTACAGAGAGAGAGAGAGTCGATTAAAAAACAATACATTTATTTATAAGACATTTAATTAATTAATTTTAGTTTGAATTTATTATTATTATTATTGATAGTATTTCACCGTAATTTATAATTATTTTATATTTTTATTTACATTATAATATAAATTATAAGTTATATATCATTTTATTTTATTTAGAAAAAATTATATTTTTTGTTTGTTTGTTATATATTTACTGTACAAATATCTATCATTTAATAGATAAGCTAATGATGTGTTTTACACACAAACAAAAAATATATGATATTTATGTATTTAATTAATATCTAAATATTTATATATAAGTTATATAATATACTCTTTTAATGATTAAGTTATTTTGTGAGATTTTTTTAAAAAAAAAATTATTATAACTTATTATAATTATTATTATAAAAATAATATTTAGCTATTTATTTTCATATATATATTATCGTTAAAATTAACCATAATTTTTGTAATTTTCTTGTTTTTTTTGTTGTTGTTTCAATTCAAATCAATCATTGTTTTAATGGTTTCAAACTTTTTTTTTTGTTGTTGTTTTTATACTGTAATATTATACGATATATTAAATATATTAAGTGTTTGAGATATTGATCTCATTATATATAAAAAAAAATAAATTGTTATATCAATTATTTTATACATTTTTATTGGACACTAAACAACAACAACAACAAAATTGATTCATTTATTCTGTCATTAAACTAAAAAAATATTAAAAAAATGTTACTAAATGTTTGATAAGATATATTCAATAAATATTATATACAGATATTATTTATAAAAAAAAATAACTAAAACTATGTATTCATTTATATATATAATTATTAAACTTAACTTTCTTAAGATAAAACCAAAAAAATATATTATATATATATAATAAATAACTTGTTATTCATATTATTTATATCATGATATTATAACTTAATTTCCACTATTTTTTTGGATAAAATAATATATAGTTTTTATGATAAGTTTTGTTTTGTAAATTATATTATTATTATTATTGACTGTATTTATATTTTGTTCAATCATTTTTTTTGGACATCAATCGATAGGATATTAGATATTATACATAAATATATATATCTTAATTATAACTCAATTATTTTTATATATATATATATTATAGTTAGCATTTAAATTGTTATATCTATTAATATATATATAACTTAAAGCTAACTAAACAACTAAATTGTTATGTATATCATAATAATAATAATAATAATAATAACTTTTCCAATATTTTATATAAATTATTATATATTGAAAGATTTTATCATACAATTGATACATCTCTCTCTCTCTCTCTCTCTCTCTCTCTCTCTCTCTCTCTCTCTCTCTCTCTCTCTCTCTCTCTCTGTCTTTATTAGGACAACAAAAATCTTGTAATTTTACCGAAAAAAAAATCGTTATTATTTTATAAGATAACAATTCAAGTGTTGTTTTTTCAACAAAAAAAAACTACTGTATGTTTAGCCCCAAAAAAATAAAGTATATATACAGTAGTTTTATATAAATATATATTATATATAACAGATATGATAAACAATTATTAATATTATTATTTGTATAAAAAAAATATTGTTTTTATGTATCCGAGCAAAAAAATACCGTAAAAAAGATTACACTTTTTTTTAATAATAATAATAATAATAATAAATAGATTTTTGATTAGCGAAACGTTTCATTTTTATATATTTTAAGGGATATAAAATTAAACATTATATATATAATACTATATATTTAAATAATAATAATATTATTATTATTATAGCCGATCGGCAACGGGTGCGACCACTCCTCACAAATTCACAAATTATATGATGAGTTTTCACAATCATTATATCCTATCAATAGATTTATATATGTTATATGATTAGGGCTTTCCTATAAAAAAAATCAAATACATTATAGACACTAATGTAAAAATCGTGATTTTTGATACTAACTGCTTGTTATGTTGTTGTTGTACACATACACACACACACACACACACACACACATACACACACATACATACACACACACATACACACACATACATACACACACACACACACACACACACACACACACACACACACACACACACACACACATACACATACATACACACACACTGTGTTTTTAATATCAAATATTATATCATTTTTATATATATCAAATATTACAGTGTTAGTTAAATTTTGTTTATTAAAGGTATTATTATAATTAAATGGCAAACAACACATAGAGATTATTAAGCCTTTAGGCTATTATATACTTTATTTTTATAGCCTATCTCTCTCTCTCTCTCTCTCTCTCTCTCTCTCTCTCTCTCTCTCTCTCTCTCTCTCTCTCTCTCTCTTTATATATAAATATAATAAGTGTATCAAACAAATATTGTCTTCAAATTTCATCAATCAGTTACATCAACAAAAAAAAATAATAAACGTTAAAAACACAAAATGTTTCATCACTAGCCTCTTAATGTTAAACACTTTTTTTATAAATATTTTTTTTGTATTGTCTTTGTTTTATCGGACAATTTATTTAATAGACTTTCACATAATAATAATAATAATCATAATTAGTTGGTTCATTGAAATGCATTATTATTATTATTATTATTTCAGGTATTTTAAGGGCTTATAACATGCTATAACTAACTGTATAATACGTGTATAAATTTATATATATATATATATATAATGTATAATAAAAAGCAATCATAATTTGGCCCATAATTTAGATGCTAAACAACACTAATATATTATATTATATACAGTGTATATATATATATATATATATTTCAGTATTATATAATATATTACTGAAATGATTGAGAATATAATTAGTGGGAATATATGGTGAAAATTATTATTATATTAGGATTTAAAAACAAAATAATTTTTATTGTTATTTATTATTACTAAAAAAAATATGCGTCCAATTAATCAAAATAACTTTCAACTCGAGGTGAAAACGCAATGATTTTTATAATGTAATAAAAAAAATTTGTTTTAATATACAGTATATGAACTAAAATAAAACAAAAAAAAAAGTTTTATTAAAGTGTATATAAAATTTATATTTTATAAGAAAATTTTCATTGAATTTATTTTTTTGAAAGTTTATTATTTAATGAGAGAGAGATGTTATTAAATGAGATATTTTTTGAAAAAAAATATTAAATTTAATGAAAATTATTTCTATTTTTTGTTTTTTTGAATGATTTTGCTTTTTTGTTGATAACTTTTACCCCAAAATTTATAGATAAAATTTTTCCATATAATGATAATTATAGTATATAATATATACTATATATCTTATATATATATATATATATATATATATATATATATAACTTTTTCGCATAGCAAACAAAATAAAAAAAATTTGTGTTAATTTATAGTTTTTGTAATTAGATATGGATAAAAATAATAATTATGTTATATTTTATAAAAATCTAAAATAAATTATTTATTTTAAAAAAAATGATTTTATTAGTTAAATCATTTTTAGTTTTTTTTAATTCAAAATAAAATATCATTTTTGAATTTTGTATATTTTTACTGTATATAAATATAACTTAATTTATATTATATATTAATTATATTTCAATATATATATTATTTCAAATTATAATTATTATTACTTATTATTATTATTATTGAAAAAAAAACATTTTACAAACTAATTAAACTAAACATTTTTTTCACACATTATTTTATGAATAATTTTGTTATTTAGTTAACACTCAATATATTAAATAGTAATTATATTTATATTAATATTAATATGCAATATATACAGTATATAATAATTTTGAATAAAATTGTCATAAAATTTTTTTAGCTAGACTTCAATCATAAACTAAAAAATACTAATTTTAATAATAAATGATACAATTATTTATTTTTTAATTGACAATAAGTGTCGAGATTGAAGACCAAAAAAATAAAATTGTAACATAATTTAATAGTTAATTTATGGTCAACAACAAAAAATAAAAAAAACAACAAAATAATATCATAGATAACAAAAAAAATTATTATTATTATAGTTTTAGGGCTCAAATAATTATTTGCTTAATAAAAACTAAAGATTATTATTATTATTTTTTAATTAATATTAATAATAATAATAACTATTTGTCGCAATTTTTTAATATATATATATATAGTTTGAAAATATAATAAAGTTAATAAACTTAATAGATATCTATATCACACACACACACATATATATATATATATATATTAATAGATACCCAAAAAATTAACAACAAATTTATTGATTAACTAATGGTTATTAGCGTAAAACATATTTTTAATTTTATTTTTGTTGTTATTAACTATATATATAATGTATATTATATGCATTGATGGCAAATAGCTTTATACTATCATATAATAGTTAGCCCATAGCAATAGATATTTTTCAAAATAATAATAATAATAATAACAAAAAATATATAAACTTTTTTCTTTATTTATAATTAACACTTAATTTATTTCACTTGAAGTCCAACAACAACAACAACAACAACAAAATGTATCCAATATTTTAAAGTTAGTTAGTTTTTTACACATGTTTTTTGTTGTTTTTATTTTTTGATTATCGAGAAATTTAATATTATAATAATAATTATAATAAAAAAAAATAAAAGTAATATATTAATAATTAAAAAAATATTTGGCAACCATAAAATTATTATTAATATTTTAATTTACCATCAATGGGTGTTTTTTTAATTAAAAATTATGTTGTTAAATCTAATAAAAAAACAAATAAAATTGTTATTATTTAAACATTATGTATAGTATATTAACTATTATAATAATAATATAATATATATATATATATATATATATATATATATATATATATAAGTAAATATATTTATTATAAATTTTAATAATACAAATAATATAATACTTTATATTTACAAAAAAAATATGTTTTATTAATATTTTTGTATTTTAAATGATATAAAATACTCATTTTAAAAATCAAATTTATTTAATACTAAATTGTTTATAAATATATATATATATATATATATATATATATATATATATATATCTGG